GCGCGCGGCGGATGCTAGACGCCATACTTCCCGCGCGCGGCGGATGCTAGACGCCATACTTCCCGCGCAGTGGCTGCACGTACTTCTGCTTGCGGCGCAGTATGAAGAAGTAGTAGCAGAGCACAAGCACAGCGACGACAGTGATGTAGACCATAGCACACAAGCTGATGTCGATGCTCGTCATGTCCCATGTGCCACCGCTGCTGCCATGTAGCGCTCGTAGCTCTGTGCGCGTCTCCACCTCACGCCGCCGTATGCGCTCCCAGCGCTGTGCAGACTCCGCCAATGCGGCCTCACCCCCTGCTGTGGCCCTGAATCTCTGCAGCCCCCAGTCCTTCAGGTAGTCGGGTTTCTCAATCTTTATGCGCTTCCGCATCGGAAGCTGTATGGCTTCCTCGCGATGCTGCTGTTGCAGGGAAGGATAAGGATGATTGTCGTCGAGGTGGATGTTCGCAATGCCATAGTGCGAGCGCAAATATACAAGCACCTCAGCACGATCCCAAACACCACCATCCCCGTGGCATCGCGCGCATTGGATTGCTGTCGGGAACTGAACCTTGGGATGCTGCGGATCCTCAGTGATATCCCCGGCGAGGCGTGCATTGGCGCGGTTGTGCGCCTGCCACAGCCACATGACGGCGTCCGCCGATGTGTTCACGTAACCGTCAATCGTCACTGCCATCTTATGGAAGTTGCTGCTGCACTCACGACAGCCGAAGAAGTACTGCACGAATGCCTGGATACCATAGAGCACCTCCCGCGGGTCGGCGTTGCCATCTGGCGACATTCATAACACTTAATTACAGCCAGTGTTCTCCCCCTTTCCTTATTTGATATCTTACTCACAACAACACAACTTCACATTTTGGCTGCGCATACTTGGTAAATCTGTTTCGCAGTCACGTCATATTTCAGCTACCAAATACACGCTCTCCATCCTTTAATAGCACAGGCAGATGGTAGCGGATCGGTCATAAAAAGTAGGGTTTTGACTTTCATTTGAAATTTAAATATTCCAGATGGACACTGTCATGCCAGTATGTACAATAGTCCATGAGCCAGACCAGATATTGGTACCACCTGGGGTGGCAAATCCTCACTATGTTTTATTAAAAGGTCTATATCCATAGATAAAAAAAAACCCATGAACCAAGCCGAGACTCACAGCTTAATGGTAGAAATTGCCACT